CTAGCCCTTAGAAAAGACAGGCATTATGCAGAAGAAAAAAGCAGGGGTTTGAGAGGTAGATCTCACTATTAGGGAATTATTTCTCTAACTCAGCCATAGCCCACTTCCAATAATAGATGTATTTTTCATAAAGTTTTAAAAAATTAAAGTGCAACATACAAAATGACCTTCTGGACCATGACTCCCTCTCTCCCTCTCTTAAAGTAACCACTGCTCTGACAGCTAACAGTATAGATAGTTTTGCCTGTTATTTAACTTTATATGAATAAATGACACTGTGTATTCTTTGGAGGTTGACTTGTATTGCTCAGGTTGTGTTTGTGAACAGAAGTTCCAGCTGTGGTGCAGTGAGTGCTCATCTTTGAGAAGACAGACATTTCTTCTGGAAGGTGGCCAGTGGGTCTGATGCCTGTGTGTATAAATCTTACTTTATTCCTTTTTATAGGTAGAGGGGTAGGATGAAGGTGGCAGTTGTCCAGGGGCATGAAGGAAATGGTGGAAAATGAAGGAGAAATCTATAGAATGAACAGGTTGCTCTAAAGACAAATTTTGATTAAATAACAAATCTGATGTTAAATGTCTTTAAGAATTGGATCAAATCAATCTAACTTCCAGTACCTTGGCCATACCAAAGTAAAATATTATAATAATAATATGTCCTTCTTTCTCCATTGCAAGGTTGGWACCCTATATTAAATGTATTCTGGGCCTTTTAGCAGAGAGTTGCTAAAATCTTCCCAGATGGATGATTTCATTTAAGTACACAATGCACATACTATTAAATGTACTACAACCTAGACAGGTATGATGACTATCTCCATTAAGAACCCACTTCATTAACCAAGAATAGATTGCAGTCCATTGCAAAGTGTTTCAAATGCAATAAGACCACCCAGAAAACCTTGGGCTCTCCGCTTTACATGAATATGTAAGAAATTGCTTTCAGACTCTGAAGGAAACCAGTACTCAGAGTGCAGTGACAGATGTGGGAAGTAATCAAGCTTTCAGTGTGTAGCACAGGAAAGTACAATTCACCTCTGTTTAAATAATTTGCCTTTCAAAAAGATGCCTAAAGGGCCAGGACTGCTTTTTACAGAGGCAAGGACCACATCAAGGTTTGCAAGAGGAAAAATAGACATCTGGGACAGAACTCATTCCTTCCCTAAGACCAGTCAAATCCTGGATACCAGTAAAAAGTGGGAAGAGGAGGAAGAGCTGGAGAGAGAGGGCAGGAGGATGCTGCAATCTGTATACGGGGTAAAAATGGGAGTTCATAACCCACTTGAATCAAAGTGTGAAATATGATATGTCAAGAACTATGTAATGTTTTGAACAACCAACAATAAAAATTAAAGGAAAAAAAAAAGAGAGAGAGAACTCCACTAGAACCAATCCAGTGTAAAATAATTTCTAAAGGGTTTCCAACAGAAAAAAGAATGTGTAGATGGGATGGGGACTATAGTTTGGGTCTTAACTGTCCCTCAAAAGTTCATGTGTCAGCCAGATGAGGTGGCACATGCSTGTAATCCTAGCAACTCAGGAAGCGGAGGCAGGAGGATCACAAGTTCAAAGCCAGCCTAGGCAACTTAGGCAGGTTCTAAGAAACTTAAGGAGACCTTGTCTCAAAATAAAAAATTAAAAAGGCTGGGGATATGGCTCAGTAGTTAAGTGCTTCTGGATTCAATTCCTAGTACCAAAACAAAAACAAAAACTTCATTGTGTTAAAAAAAAAAAAAAAAAGAAATTCCACGAGTCAAAGGCTTGGTCCTCAGCCATGATGCTACTGAAAGGTGGTAGAATTTTAGGAGGTGGGGCTAGTAGAAGAGAGTTAGGTCACTGGGGGATATGCCCTTGAAGTGGGCATTGGGACCCCTGACCCCTCCCTCTGTTTCCCCATTGCCAAGAGGTCAGCAGCTATGCTCTGCCATGCATTTCCCACCATGATGTTCTCCTGTACTACAGACCCAAAGAAACATGGCCAAGCAAGATAAATCTTTTTTGCCTAGCATGCATGGGTTCAATCCCCAGCACTTTAAAAACAAACAAACAAACAAACAAACAAAAAGATAAATCTCTTTTAAGTTGATTTATCTCAGATATTTTTCACAGCAAAGGAAAGCTAACTAACAGAGTGGGCAATTGAGATGAAGAGAAATTAGGGCCCAGGAAATGTGATTCTGGATCCTATTCAAAATGCTTATTTCATCAGCTCTCAGTATTTTGACCTGAAAAATGGGGGGAAATAAACCAATAACATTGCATTTGTAAATGATATTTGTGTCTACATCCACCTATGTTTTCTCTGTCTACATCAGTATTTATGACTCCATGTTAGTAGTAGGATTTACCCAATTATTTATTTTACTGATGGCTCTAATTCAGGAGACAGACTGTTCTCAAATAATTGGTTTACCTAAATATGAATTTCACCAACCCACCCATTTCTGACCTGAGTTCCTTCCCTCTGGCAGATCTGATTGTTCTCTCATTCAGTTTGTCCTCCTGCTCTCACTACAAAGTAAAAGGACRTTTTTGATGGTAGGAACACGGTGGGTGGTCATTTGCCAACTCCACAGGCCCATGGTTTAGGCAGCACATTTGCTGATGGAAAATTCAATCTCCAAAGAATGCCTTTCTAGCTTGTGAGGACTATTTATAGCTTCTGACACAGGTTTCAAGTAGAGAATGAACATCATTATTAATGCTAACTCATAAGAACTCCACAGGAAGGAGGACTATGAAGTCAACATAGGGTGTCCTTAAGAGACTTGGTCTTAGAGAATCTGACAATGGAAGGGAAGGATGAATGAAGAAATGGGAGTGAGTTGCTAAGACACAAATGGGACTCAGGCCTTAGCTTTCTTTTCGAGGTCATCAGTGGTCCTCTGTTCTGAGTGCAAGGTTTTCCCCCTTCAACTTTCTGTTTGTTTGTTTGTTTGTTTTTTCCTGCAAAAGAAATGTTGGTTTAACATCTCGGAAGAAATGTGGAGACTGTTAGTGCCCAGACTCCTGCTTTACACTATTAATCTTGTCTTCCTAACTTTTAAGTTCTGACTTCTTTAGATCTCACCTTCTCCATTCAGAGGTCCACAAGAAAATCCTTGATCAGTTGGGCTGGTTTGCTCATATGTCATGAATATGCTTTTGCTTAGTCTTTGCTTATGTTACACCCTCACCTGGAAGACTCTTATCCTGCCAAATGCCATCTGTCCTTTAAGATGCACAAATAGTCCCATTTTCTCCAGGAAACTTCTCTGAATATCTAGCCCAGAGAGAATCAYCCCTTTCCTCTGAATTTTGAACAGGAAATTAGAGGGTATTTCATATAATATCATGTTAATTAGCCATATTATGTTATCTCTTATTTTGTTCTGTGTTAGTTTCCCCATACTATTTGAGTTAGTGTCTTTCTAAGTTAGGGACCTGTTGCATGGCTTGAGTCAGGGACCTAGTGCTCAGAACAGCAGAAGGGGCTACTTTTAAAATTTGTGCATGCAGAAAGGAGTTATGAACTCAAAGACATGGTATGGGAGACCAGCTTAAGCCCTCTTCTTCCTTTATATTCGACTTCAGACATGTGCAGATCAATTTGACTGCCATAGATACCACAGTTACTCCCGAAGAAGAAATACCATCTTCCTAGATCCCCTGAATGACATGATTCACCAAATGCTTTCTTTCAAGATAACATTATTTTTATACACAGAGAGTTGACACAGTTTTCTGGATGAAACAGACCAAAAGACATACTCTAAGGAGACCAAGAAAAAAAAAAACACTGTGATACATACCAAATCTTGAGACAGATAATTCAGCAACAGTTGTTAAAATCTCCAGGAATACCATCAAAGATAGAGTTTAGGAAAAGGGAGAAAGACCAGCTGAGCCAGCCAGAGCTGCAGATAATGCAGAGGGGAAATTCAGCTTGAGGGAATGACTGCTTGCCAGCCCGCTGCCCCAGGCGCATTAGCTCTGAGGTAGAAAAGGAAGAACCCCAAAGGGCAGACCAATGAATTGTGCAAGTCAGGGCAGACAGATCTGTTCCCTTTGCCTAAGAGGAGTCTCTGTTTTTGGTGCTTGAATAAGTCATGCATACTGATGTGCAGGGCACCCTTAGAGGAAGGGGCTGCTGTCCCACCCCACTATTTAGTGCTAGCCTTCTGACCTGGGGTGAGGCACTCCATCTAGTTTTCTTATCAGCAAAAATGAGGAAACATCGCCTCATTTATCAATTCATCCACTCACCAGGTATTTATTTAGGGCCCTCAGTGGGTCTAACGTGAAGTAATACAATGGCGAGCTACACAGACAGTTTTTGCCTTTGTGGGGTGTTCAGATCATCTCCCTGGGTTGAAGTTACAGAGAAGAAACATGTCTTTGAACTGGAAAGCACTGTGACAAAAGAAAGTCTTTATCATCAACAACCTCCACTCTTGATCTAGCAGTGTGACTGGGCCAGTCACAATTTTTCTGGGCTTTGTTAGTCTCAGCTAAAAAATATGGACATTTACTCTCCTAAAATTTGATTACTTCAAATACAAATGAAGAAGCTAGGCTTTTTAGGTACTTCTGAGTCAGAGCCTTCTAAAAGATTATTATGAAATAGTTCAGACATAACAGAAGGGTAAGAATAATATAACCAGCCTTTATGTACCAACTCTCTTACATAAGAGAGAAAACGTGGCAAGGAGCTCTATCTGGGGGCAGGGCCTCTCATCCTCAGATTGTATAACTGTGATGAGTTTGGTGTTTATTATCCTGAATCCTGGTTGTTCAAGGAAACCTGGCATGGGACTAAAAATATTTCACCAGTGAAGAGCTCTTCCTACACTTAGGTGTTCCTGGTTCTAATGAATGCCAGGTCACGACAGTGCATATCACACACGGGTGCCACTCTGTTCTCTCCCTGCCAGCCCTGATTGCTGTCCAACTGGCAGATGACCAGAAAAGCCCTTTAGCAGGCAYTGCTGCTGCAAGGAGAAACACTGTGTTGTATTTACCTTGAGGGCCTTCTGCGCAGCTTCACYAGACCCGATTGCAATCAGGTTAGGCCCAGCCATGCTGCAGAAACTCTTCAAATGCAAAGCATCGGCTACAGGGACTGTGGAGACTGCATAGTCCTACACAGACAAACAGAATAACAAGCAGTTTGGTATTGCAGAGTAATTGTAAAACTGATTAAATCCTGCCTGAACGGCGCTTGCTCATTTGAAGGCTGTCGGGCCCCAAATATCTGGAAGAAAAACTGTGACCCACAGCTTTGGTAATGCGGGGTAATTGACAATGAAGACTACCTCTGAGAAGCAAGCAGAACGTCCTCCTAGATATGACTGAGTCAAGAGCTTTGCCAGCTCTATGGCCTGTAAAGTGGACCATTATAGGATGGTGGTTTTAATACCCTGTGCAAACTGTAGCTCAGTCAGAGCCTCATGTCCTCATGGGGAGAGGAGCTTATTAGTGGTTATATCCCTTCATAAGCAGTCAGGAGAGCCCATCTATTGATTATCAAGAAAGGGACCTTGAAAGGAGATGTGAAATACTAACCCCGTTTCGAGCACAGAGTAGGCATCCACGTACAGGCAATCTCTGATTTTCATCAGAAAAGTAACATTTCATATAAAAGTCAACTGGATCTCCAAATTTGTGTGTGTGTGTGTGTGTGTGTGTGTGTGTGTGTGTGTGTATGTGTGTCACTTACTGTTCCAGGAACATGTGCCAGGTGTTTGTATCATTACATCCTGGAAGAAAAGTGAGGATGGTCATACTCACTTTGTCAGTTGCTCCCATTAATTAATGAAGCTTAATTATCAAGAAATTCAAATTTGATAATGTTTAAATCTTCTAGCCAATGTGCAAATACTAGGACTTATTTTGCCATGCTGGTGAAATGTAAACACCATTACTCATAACCTATTGATTCCATGGGTCTATGAATATTTATCAAGTAATTACTCTGCCAGGCATCAATTATCCTTTACCTACCTTAAAAGTATCAGCCAAGATTTCAGCACCTCGTTGATTTGTCCTTTTGGAAAGGCCCACAAAAAATTCTCTGCCTATAATAGATGTCATGAAACATAGTGAGTGTGTGGCCCCAGTGACTGTGCACTATTTCTTTTATCTATAAATACTGACCTGAAAGCATCACATAGTTCCTTCCTGCCACAGAGGACAGCTCCACCAAAAAGACCCCCTGTTCCCTTTACAAAAAGTTCAACTCAAATTATTACCCTTAAAAATAAGCTTTTTTTTTCAAATTCATAGARACAGAATACAGGATGGAGGTTTCCGGGAGCTGAGAGGAGAAATAAATGAGMGAGTTTAATGGGCACAGAGTCTCAGTTTGGGAAGATGAAAAAATCCTAGAGCTGCATGGTGGTGCATACTGCCTGAAGTATGGTGGTGTACATAACAGCATGAAGGTCCATACTGCCTGGAACTGTACCCTCAGAAACAGATCTGATGGTAAACTTTATGCTATGTATATTTTACCACAATGAAGAATTAACTTTTCATTTAAGAAACAAAAGAATTAAACATACTCATAATCTATAACTAGAAATTAGGTAATAGCAATGACAAGTTAGCAGTGTTGCCCTCTGTTACCTCCTAAAAGAATAATGTTTTTAATTAACTCAGAGGCCTTTTCTTATAAGCATCAAGTAAGGCCTGAAAAAACCATATGGGTAACATGAGTGTAGTGCTTACTGCTCTTCGGGTCTGGTCTCTAAGAGCTCTGTCTTTAAAATTATACATCTATTTGTTTCAAATCAAACATGAAGACATCTATTTGCAAAGTGAAAAAAAGATAAGGATGAAAGACCTTGGTGTTTGATGTCTCTGAAATTTTGCAACTTTTCTATAAAGAAAGCAAACACTAAATAAGAATGGTCTCTAAGTTTAGGCAATGAGACAACTATTGTACATAGGGTTGAGCAATACATAAATGTGGGGATTTTCATTTTCCCTTAATTCTTTGGGGGAAAAAAATTCCACTTGAAAGCATAAAGGTCATCCATACTGCCTCTGTACCCTCAGAAACAGATCTGATGATAAATTTTATGTTATGTATATTTTACCACAATAAAGAATTCACTTTTCATTTAGGAAACAAAAGAATTAAACATTCACAATCTTTAATCAGAAATTAGGTAACAGCAAGGACAAGTTAGCAGTATTACCCTTTGTTACCTTTGTTATTCAAAGAGAAATCAGTGAGTTTTTGTCCCAGAGCATCATCATAAACATAAGAAGATAGCTATGGAAAAGGGACTGTTTTGACAGACTTTACAAATGCTACTCCTTTAATCTTCATCTGTTCTCATAAAAGGGGTAAATGACACAGGTCAAATGATGTTAGGACAAATTCCAAGGRTTTATGCTGTTGGCAGACAGACAAATCTGCTGTGGCACAATGACAATTTTTTTTGGCAATGGTATGATCGTGTAGTCTCTTAAGAAAACTCAGACATAAAAATCAAAATTTAAGTAGGGGCAGGTCTGTTCCTTGGCAAAAGTATTACTTTATAAAAAAAAAGTCAGCTATAATTACAAAATAAAGTTTCACTAATTCTTTTCAGATAAGAATACATTTATAAATTAGTCTCATATACAACTTTAAAAAAAACCCTCAGTACTGGGGCGGGGGTTGTGGCTCAGTGGTAGAGTGCTTGCCTAGCATWCGTGAGGCACTGGGTTTGATCCTCAGCATCACATATAAATAAATGAATAAAACAAAGGTCCATCAACATCTAAAAAAATATTTTTTTTWAAAAAAAGAAAAACTCAATGTATTAAGCAAGTTTTAACATGTTTTTAGAGGGGCATGCATGCTATCTCAATTTCATAAAATTAAATATGACAGGAAAGTACAAAGATAAGCATACTGTTTATGTCTTTAAAAAGTTAAGTTGTACTTCTCTGTTTCTGGCAGTGTTATGGATAAGATCCCCTAAATGACATTCCTGATGGAAATAACTAAAATGCTATTGAAGTATTTAACAGTTTTTTGGTATCTGTGTGTCATTTTCTTCTATGCCAATTCTTTCCCCCCACTTCTATGGTATTTATTTATAGGAAAAACCCCAGCCATTTTAGTCTATCTATTGACTAGCCTACATTCTAGATTTGCCCGATTGCTTCCTAATGTCATTTAACATTTAAACTGTTCTTTTATCCTTTCTATTTTTAGTAAACATAGTTTAATGTAGATGGTTAAATTAGAATCTCATCTTTTTTTTTGGGGGGGGCTAGGACAACTTCAGAGGTGGGGCTGCGCTTCTACTGCATTACATAAGRAAGCACAGGACTGACTGCTCCATTTTCAATAGTTAGACTAGAAGAATCAGTGGTTTCAGGAGGCATCAGATTAATTTTCCTATTATACAGTTTTCTATCAATTCTTTACATAATGGTTTTCATATTGTTTGATAATCATGCATAGACCCACTATTTTGTTACAGATCTGCATTTGCTGGCTGGAAGTCTAAAAAGAAAATCACGAATCAAGTATTTGGTCTACTTGAAATACAACTTGTAAAAGGAAAGGTAAGATAAAAGCTGTGTCTTTCCTTCACCTACCCACCATTAGACTCATGGGTTGCTGTTCCAATAACTTATAAAAATGGCCAAGTTTTTTTTTTTTTTTTAAATCACGAGTCAACAATTAAATCATAATGTAAATTTAAAAACATTTGGAACTAAATGATAACAAAAATTTTAAAAAAAGATTCTCTGAAGTTGTACTTGGAAGAAAATGCTTATGTTAGTGAAGATGAAAGATTCAAAATTAATGAGATAAAATTCCAACTTGAGATGTAGGGGGAAAAAGAATCCAATAAAACAAAGAAATCTGAAAGAAGGAAATAAATAAAGGAAATATTCAAGAGAGAGAGTTCAACGAATCCAGTAGCCAGCCGGTCCTTTGAAAAGGTTAATAAAATTGACCAACTTCAGGCAGGTAGGTAGGCAGGAAGGAAGGAAGGAAGGAAGGAAAGAAGGAAGGGGGCAGGCAGCCAGGCAGATGGCATAAATATCACAAATGAAAAAGGAATATAGCTACCGTTGCTGTGAAGCTTAAACAAACATCAGAAGACAGGAATAACTTTATACCCAACATTTTGAAAATTTTACATAAAATAGATAAAAGTCCTAGAAAAATGGAATGCCTCAAAATGGACTCAGGGAAGCCTCGTCATATTATCTTTAAAGAAGTGAACCAGTTTAAAATCATCCCTGCAAAGAAGGCACCAGACACTGTTTATGGACGTGTCCTACCTACCACAGCTCAAGGAATACACAGTTCAATTGGTACTGATTCCAGAGAATAGAAAAACAAGAAACATCCCTTAATATTTTTCATGAGACTAATATAACACTTTACCAAAACCAGACATGAATAACAAGAAAGAAAAATTATAGGACATGAAATAAAGTCCTATAACAAAATGTTAGCAAACTAATTCCAATAGTCTATGAAAAAGTGAATTAATCATGATCAAGTTTGATTTCAACCCGGAGATGCAAGACTGGTCAACTACCAGAAAATTGATTAATATAATTAACCATGTTTCAGATTAAAGAAGAAAATCAAATAATCATTTCATTGGAAGAAAGAAAGAATTTACCCTATAACCCAGAATTCATTTCCCAATGTTGACCTTAGAGGAACTCTTGTACATGTCTGCAGGAGACACACACAGAAATTAACATGGCAGCATTGAAGATAATAGTAGAGAAGAACCAGAAAATACCCAAAATATACATCACCAGAAAGTGCATAAATACACTGTGGTATAATTCCACAGAGTACTAGCCAGCATTGAAAATGAACTGCAGCTATACACATCGACTTGAATCAAAAGTAGAAAAATTCATGCAAGAGTTCATATAGTGGGACACTAATAATAAAAAAGCTGTAAGACAAGCAAAACTGAGCAGTGATTTCTTGAGGCTGGGAGGAGGGAGAGATTGGGATGGGGGGACCCCAAGGGTTTCTGTAGTCCTGGTAATACTCTATTTCATAAGCCAGGGGTGAGTACCCAGGTGTTCATTTTCTTTTTGGTCTTTAAAGCAGTACATACACATTTTACAATTCATTTTTATGCACTCTATATTTCACAAAAATACATAAATAAAAGTAGAGATAAGCCAATGTTATTTATTCAAGAGAAATGGAATGAAAACAGTTTTAGCCCGTAGCTGCTTGCCTGACTGACAGATTTCCCAGCAGGAACTGGAATTGGAAAGCAGCTCTCCTTCTGTCCATTTCCTGATAAATTATTAATGAATCTTGAGTTACAGAAGGAAGAGGGCACAGAAMACATGGAAAGTGCTACAGATTTTCTTATACAATTCTGTATAATCCAAAAAATTGAGTGGTAATATTGCATACTAATGTGAATGAGATTATTGCCCCATGAATTGTACACTTAAAAATGGTGAAAATGGCAAATTTTATGTCATGTTTTACCACAATGAAAAATGAGGGAAGAAAGAAAACTTCAGAAGTTGGAAAAAGAAAGCAGGACATAACATCAGGTTTGAATGAGATGTCAAGCAAAGACGTCCCAACATTATCTCAACTTTCAATATAATACCTAAGATGGTAATTTATATACTGAATATAGCAAGTAAAAAAAAAAAAAACCTACAGAGTGTATCAAAGGTAAGCCTTAGTACTTAGTGCCTAATTAGAATATGGGGGAAAGCACTGGGCTTGAAATGCTGTGGAAAGACTGTGGACCATGTAGGAAGGGACTCCTTCTACGCCTTCTCATTGAAGAGGTTTTAGGGTAGCTGTGCAGCTCAGCTGTGAAGACAACTAAATGGCTGTGAACATAGCTTGTTTTAAGCTGTCCTGCAAATGTGATCCATATCTGCTTACAATAAGTTGTGTATTATATGAYTATTTCTGGTTTTTAAAGAAAGTATCGTTAAGGAAGTGTGATTTATACATCCAGCTTTTCACAAAACTATTTTCTAAGTGAAACAAGCTGTTGTTCTGGGCTGTCAAAAAGAATGAAAGTGCCATCCATGGGAGGCTCAAAGGATAATCTAAGTGGGGGGTAGGGAGGACTTACTGGGTAGAGTTGAAGAATGCCTGTGTTTTGCCAGACACAGTCAGAGCTAAGAATGCAGCCTGAGCCTCCTCGACCCCTTGTTCTGCGTCTGAAGGCTCAATGTGCGGCAGACCACACCCCAGCAGCAGGGCCACTAGCAGCTCTGTCCGTGGCAGCACAGGCCCTGCAGTGCATAGCTCTAGAGGGTTCTATTCACAGAGCTGTTGGTGGAATGGTGCCCCCTGGAGCTGGGCAACACAATGGCCTCAGCCCTAGGCACAGGACACTGAGCAGAGAATAAACACACTCCTCCCCCAGGAAAACTAGGTATATCCAAATGTAAGCAACACAAAAACATTTCTAGATGAAAATAAGGAAGGCTATCTTCTGCTATATACACGGGATTCAATATAAATACACAACAGTTAAAATATTAAGCTTTGTGCTTTCAGTGGGTCACATGAGGGAGGCTGCTTTCCAGATTTCTGAGAACCAGCCTTTGCTCTTTGGGCTACACTGGTGAAACAGGTATTCATCCTCTGACATTCAGAGGAAAATAAACTCTTGGTATGACTTAAAAATTACTATTATCTTGCTCTTCAATATAACCAAGATGAATGTGGGGGTCCAAATTTTATACATGATTTTTATAAAACAATAGTCCTGTGATCAAAAAGAATTAGAAAGGTTAAATCCTAAATTTACTGTTTCTTTAATAGCCATATTAAACTGATTGTACAAAGCAATTCTGTTAGATCAATAATAACATTAACATTTATATTTTGTCTGCTATTACTCAACTGGCATTAAGCCAAGTCAATTTGTATAGAAAATTATTTGAATTCCTCTTGCCATCTGGAGAGAAAATTATTTGTAAATGACACTAATCTAGAATTTAGAATCCTCTAAATACAAACCAGACATAGAGTCACTAGATGCAAAACTATGCCACTCATACAATCAATTGTAGAAGAACATAGAAGCAAGATACATATTAATCATCTACCTACCAATAATATTCTTGTCAGAATATGCAAATATATGCAAACAAAAGTATTGAAATAATGAACAACCAAATGTTAAAGTGATTATCTCTTAATGGAAGGTCAATTTTTTTCTTCATTGTGCTTTTCTGTATTTGTCAAATTCTCGGCATTTAGCATCCATTACTTCAGTAAGTAAAATAAAAACTATAAGAAAATGAGTATGATTAAGGTAGTGAAAGTATTTTTGGACAGAAAAAAATAAATGTAACTATACCTGTGAATAAGACATCTCCACCATCTAAGGTTGCATTTTCATCCTTCATCTCTACTATATTAAGCTGAAGTTTTTCTAATGCTTCTTTCATCATGTCAACCTGTTTAAAAAAAAAACAATTCATATTAGTAGCATACCATTTCCTAATACAAAAACCAATTTCTGAAAACTTCTGAGCACTGTTATCCTCCTATGTAAGCGCGTGTGCACACACACACACACATACACACTCACTCTCTCATCTTTATGTATATAGGAAACGTATGTTATATAGTGCAAGATCACAGGATAAGTCATGACAATTTGTAAGAGAAGAAATTATCTGTTAGAAATTACCCATTTGGTTCCCTTTTAGTCTAAGATTTAATTAATATTAGTCTCCTTTTTTGGAGGAGGGTAACTCACTATCTAGGATACTGTTAATGCTGACCAGTTAGGACACTACTGGAAGTTGACYTTTTATAGGGCATGTAAGTCAAAAAAGGCAAGAGGCAAGTGACATAGTCCACATAYCTTTGCCAGAAAGAACAAGATCTTAATTTTCAGCCTGAGTCACTTGGTGAGTCAGAATAACACACATACAGAATAATAATGGAAGGAAAATCAATAACTAACAACTTGAAAYTTCAATCTATAGGCGGCCATTATTACCTATTATTATTATTTTTTTAGTACCAGAAATTGAACCCAGGGGTACTTAACCACTGAGTCACATCCCCAGTCCTTTTTATGTTTTATTTTGAGATAGGGTCTCACTGAGTTACTTAGGGCCTTGCTAAATTGCTGAGGCTGGTTTTGAACTTGAGATCCTCCTGCCTCAGTGTCCTGTGTTGCTGRTATTACAGGTGTGCACCATTGTGCCTGGCTCAAGTGTTTTCTAAAATGCCAGAACTTCCAAGCCTTCTCTGTAAATCTAAATTGTTATTTAAGTTTATATTCAAACAATTAATATGATTACTTGTCTTAAACCTACTTCCTTAGAGAGGATTAACAAATATAGTAACTGCAGTCAAACCAAAGAATATTAGAAAATGACGGTCAGGAACTCTCTATGATTCTGGGGTGTGTCTCAGCACAGGGAGATTCTGGGCTGAATTAGGGAACATTTCTAATGAGACTTACTTTAAAACAAGAAAAAAAAAACATAAAGCATAACAAATGACCTTTGAAGCTTACAATTTAATTAAAGTCATTCCAGTGACTCAACAAAACAACTTAAATAGTTTTGAAGGTCTGCAAAATCTTTAACATGGCAAGGACATACATTCACAAGACATGAAAGGAAAATAAGAGATCACATCACACTGGGCGAAGCAGGAGGCTCTGCCAAAATGTAGCATGCTGAGGACACAGAGTGACTTGTCAATGAAGAGACATCAATATGGCAAGAGTCGGCTCTAAAGCAATAAAAATATGGAAATACTTCGACAACAAGGCTGACATTCATGCATTCAAAAACATTAAAGAGGATACAAAGTAAAATAAATATATCATCTCATCCTTGTCCTGGAACCCATGCTAAAATTCCACAAACCAGAGTGACTCAGAACAATAAAAATTATTTCCATGGACAAAATGGTCTTAATGTTGTTATAAATACATCCAGTGACCTCTTTTAACAGCAGGATAGGTTTTCCCATGTAACAGGAAATGGAATCGTTGCTATAGCATGGAAAAAGAGAAAACAACATTTACTATGGCTTGTTGAAGCTACTGTGAACCCAGGAAAACACACAACCATTTGCTTCTGGCCTCTGTGCTTCTGTGTCCATGGAAAATTCACTGACCATAGGGAGAGAGATCATGAGAACTGTGCTACCCTCATCTTTTGTTTCTTTGGCTAATGCTGCCTCTTCCATTACAGCTTAACATCTCAAAGGTTACTAGGAGTTTAGCAGTAACACGGATTTTGGTCTGAAAAGTTTGTCTGTAACTATGTAACTTCTCAAGTTAGGAACTCCATTTAACTTTTAAGTGTTAAAGGACAGTAAGAAGGCTACTTATACATAGGTTTCAGAAACACTGTATTTTTTTTTAAAAAAGTCTTATATCTTTCAAAATGAAAGTTTTAGAGGATAAAATGTTTGTGGTTTTCTTATAAAAGTCAAAACAGCTGCACTGACATTAAGGAACTGGCTTTTGTGCAAGGGAAGTACTTTTTTTTTTTTTCTTTTTAAATGTTCAGTCACATCTACACAAAGTCATCAGGAGAGGTCCATACCACAAATGTTGATAGTACTACATTATTTTTTCAGAGTTCACGGACAAGAGTTTTTAAAAATTTAAACATCAAGTAAACAGTTTTGAGAAGCGCAGGACCATATGGCATCAAATTGGTAATGCTAACTCAGGGAGATTTCTGAAAAAGAAACAAGAGAGGCTGAACCCCATAGGCTGACCACAGAGAACTGCATTCTCTTGGCACAGAGGTTCCAGCAAAGCATACCAAGGCAGCTGCACACAAACCAGGCACTGCCCTGACACACAGGCACAAATCGAGCCAGCCACTCGGGCAGTTAGAACTTTAACTGTAGAAGTGGGAATGTATGCAGGAAAAGAACCAAACCATGAACCTTCAAGAAACTGCCCATTCTGTTGTTACACAGCCATGGTCAAAGCTGACTTAATTAACTTTCAAGAGGTACCAAAAAAAAAAAAAAAAAAAAAAGCCAAACTATAACACTAACCTTTAGCAGCGACAGTAACCCCACAGAGTGGAATTTTACATTACTCAGAGAAACCGTCAGAACAAACAGTATTAATTCCAAAGGTTGAGCTGAATGGGTCGTTTATAGCCCATGAAATTAGAAACGAAAAGGGCAGAATTAGAGAAACAGCCCTAATTAGTTTAAACCTCAATTTGTACCTTAGAGTAGGATATATAATTCTCTTATTCTATTCTGAAGACTTACAAGAATTACCTTTCTCCTTCCATCATCATGCTCATACACTTTGATTTCATCGTTTTATTCTATATTTGCATTTATTGTTGCTCCAACTTTTCTCCTCCTACCCTTTAACCACAGGCTACTTCCCTGGCCACAGTGGCTTCTGACCACCTTTTTTTTTTTAATTTTTAATATTTATTTTTTAGTTCTCAGCAGACACAACATCTTTGTTGGTATGTGGTGCTGAGGATCGAACCCGGGCCGCACGCATGCCAGGCGAGCGCGCTACCGCTGAGCCACATCTCCAGCCCCGGCTTCTGACCACCTTTGCTGCTCATTCAGCCGTATATCTTGGTCTCCAAGAGTTGGTATAGGCTTGAGGTAATTATCTTCCCTTCCACTTCCTCTCTCCTTTTCTTTTCCGCTGGAGTACCAGTGTTCAAAAATGTAGTTATTGGGTTTACACATTCATACTCATTACACTAGGAAAGTCTATGATCCATGGCCTGGAGTTCAAATCCCCACTCTGCTACTTACTAGCTAAGTGACCTTGGTTTGTTTAACATTCTGATGATCTTCGGTCTGTTCATCTTTAAAGTGGTTGTTTACTCATAATAATACCAACTTGTTGAGTTCTTCATGATTATTAAATTCATGCCAAGCTCTGAGCACATATAACCTTAATTGCTCAATAAATGTTAGATACAACGTTTACTATTTTGGTGAAATACCAGCTTGTGTGCATATCCTTACAGATACTTGTGTTATAAAACTGACCCACAACGAAAAAATCTGTTTCTTTTTCTTACATTTGGACAAGTTTCTTATGTTTTGCCACCCTATGACAGATTCCATCTGCTTTCCAGTAAATTAAAACTGCAGTCTTTTCTGCAAATTCAATGTAAAGTTAAATATAAGGACATTTATATTTAAATTTGAAACATTCAAATTTGATTTCCTTCCAGGTCCTGGAAGTTGCCAGAAAGAATGAGGTACATTTCTTGTATAATATCTGCTTTGAACTAGTGATCTGCAGGTACCACATCAGAGTGGGCCTGACTGGTAAGATGTATCACAGACCTCAAAAGAACATCAGCCCAGACATATGAATGGGTCATGAGGACGCGGCCACTCTAAAGGATGCAATCAGTCTGAAGGATTCCTTCTTTTTCTTGATACCCAGTTTCCTTCCTCTCCTTTGTTTTCTCAAGTTGATGTCATCATCCTGTCTTCTCATTTTAGACCCTCAAAGTGAGTGTAAAGTACTAGAGATTTGGATACTGGCTCTATGACTTATGAGTGATATGACTTGGAATAAATTAACCTCTCTGAGCCTCAGTTTCCTCATCTGCAAACAAGATAGTATTTTTCTAACAGGGATTATGTGAATAATAAGTCAGGTCACACATGGAAAGCACTTAGCTCAGTGCCTGCCACGTGGGACTCAAAACCAATAGTTACTATTCTTCTTCTTMTTATTATTAKTRGTAGTAATAGTAGTAGTAGTAGTATTTTAGCCTTAAGTAACTCAGTTTTTGTTTGGATTCGGGTTACATTTCAAAAGAAAGAAAAGATTAAAAACACCACTTTCAGCACTAAATAATCTTAGAARTTCAACTCTACTTTTCTTCTTGCAAACTTTCCCCCAACCTAAAATCAACCCCCCCCCCGCCAAACTCTCCCTAATATAAAGAAAAACAAATCAAATCAAAAACTTTATACAGTTTTCCCAGGAAGCTATGTTCATATTAGCTTGYAACATACTGTGACTAATTTAGTATTCTTTATTTAGAGACAATATTTTCCAGGTGACCTGTCCAAAGTTGATTCTTGCTGTGTCTTTTCAATGTCCATTTGGAATGTTCTGCTTCTTCACCCTGAATGTGGTGAGTGCGCTCATCAGGCCTGATGCGCCGATGTGCTGCAGCTCCACAAAGACTATTCATCAGCCTCTGTTAGCTAAACCAGTTCCCTTTAGCTGCTTCTGCTCAGTGGACTGTCAAATGTTATGACTACAAAGGAGGCCCTTGAAGTTGACCTGTCTGTGGCCAATCTGTCTCAGTCACCCACAGTTCTGCCTGTGCTGGAAGCTATGCTGTCAATACTATCACCACTTGTTGTAGTTGGGATCCAGAATGTCCCCCAAAGGCCTCTGTGTTAAATGCTTGGCCCACAACCCATGGTGCCGTTGGAAGGTGGCAAAACCTTTAAG